GGGGGGTTGCTCTGCCAGCTCTGGTGCCGAGTTGTGTCGGTCATGTGTGCCGCCCGCCCATCAACTTGCTTCACTACTGCAAAGTCTTGCTTGACTACTGTATTTGAATTGTAATTGTTGTTCACAGTTCGCTTATCATCATGTTATTACTCAAATTACTGTATCTCATTTTGTCTCTAATAATATAATTTTTTGCTTTATCATGAAAAATAGCACCCCCCCCCCTGCACCCCCTCTGGCCAGGGCTAGGGGGCGCACACCCCAGTAAATCCATCCCTGTTAATATCCTTTCTTGTTCAATTACGTACCAATAATATTCTCGGATTTATCTCCACTGTCACACAGCGAACAACTAGACTCTTGCAAGGTCTGCGGAAATTTTGTGACATCAAGCGAAGTTGTTAAACAGCGAAATAATGCGCAGCCCAGCTGGCCAAAACTTTTACACAGAGAAATCTGCAGCAACTCTGAATTGGAGTGTTGTAGAACTGTGTCCAATACTTCATTTTGTTCTTCGCCTGTTAATGTGGCTACCAACACAGGGAGTAACGTTATCACTGTCTTGTGAATATCCTGGAAGTCACTAGAGCTCTGTAATAAAAGATTGTAGTTATAAATAATATTGCGATTGTATTTCACCTTCAGGATTTGACTGTTTGGTTCCTCATCTCTCACTGAGATCCTGTAACAAAAGTTTAATCCCTTTCCTTACCAAAGTTTCATGAAAAACATGAACTTTCCATTTTGTCATCAACTCCGGAGGAAACATGGTTAAAACTTCAAGGCAGGTACCAGGGTCCATATATTTTGCTAATACACTGGATAGCTGTTTTAACTTGGCTAAATTCCAACCATTACCACAAGGCACCATAGTGGCATATTCTGGATTGACTTTCACAATCCAGGGCAGGGATGCGATGCACGTGGACAGATTAAGAAGTTCACGTGATACAGCGATATGTTTGTGAGAATATAGAAGTAATTTTATGAGGTCCAATAATGTTCTCATGATGCCGTTCACAGTATCACCACCGTCGATAGATCTGACCATAGAACTTGATAGTTTATCAAGGACAGTCAACATGGCTGACTTGAGCTCGAGAATTGTAGCATTTGTCACTTCTGTGGAATAAAAAGAGTCGGTGAGCGATATATATACCTGGAGTAAGAATTTCGGTCATTCGGCCTACACATGTAAAAACGCACAAGTTGTAACAAACCTGCAGCAGACTTGTAGCAATGCTGTTCCAACAACTTGTCAACAGGATGTGTTCACACTGCTTGTTCCCAGCTTGTTGACAAGTTGTCAACGGCTTGTTGATAACTTGCTACAAGGTTGTTGAGTTCAACAGACTTGTTACAAGTTGTTCTAACAACATGTTATCGTCCTGCAATTCAACAATTTGTTAACAAGTTGTAAGTGACAAGCTTGTAGCAACTTGATAAAATAACAGCATTGTTACAACTTGTTGACAAGCTTGCTACAAGCCTGTTGAGAACACATCTTGTTGACAAGTTGTGAGATTTTTACGTGTGTACGAGAAAAGTGATGTCAAGGTGGCGGGAATTAACAGTTTTCATATCATTTTTCGCAGCTAATTTCAGGGTTTTTTTCTAGATAACATGAAGGATATGGTGGTCAAGTCTCAGAGGCAAGACAGTCATACTCACCTGTGACAATGCTCAGAATGCTCTCCCCAAGTACGGAAGGTTTCTCAATTAAGAGAACAAGCGTTCGAAACACCAATGTTAGGCCATCCAAGGCTGCACAAGACCTCTAACATTACCAAAGATTTACAAAAAATGAATAATGTTTCAATAGCCGTGGTATGGATACGTATCAGAGGAGATGAAGGAGAGACTGTCAGGGACATTATGGAAGCAAGGTTGAGATGGTATGGACACGTCATAAGATGAGATGAAGGAGAGTCTGTCAGGAACATTATGAACAGAGCAGAAAAAGATGTGGGGTGGTAGACATTGCAGAGAAGGTGAGGGAAGCAAGGTTGAGATGGTATGGACACGTCATAAGATGAGATGAAGGAGAGTCTGTCAGGAACATTATGAAGAGAGCAGAAAAAGATGTGGGGTGGTAGACATTGCAGAGAAGGTGAGGGAAGCAAGGTTGAGATGATATGGACACGTCATAAGATGAGATGAAGGAGAGCCTGACAGGAGCATTATGAAGAGAGCAGAAAAAGATGTGGGTGGTAGACATTGCAGAGAAGATGAGGGAAGCAAGGTTGAGATGGTAGGGCCACGAAATAAAACCACGTAGCAATTACCTGTGACATTGCTTGCTCATTGAGAACTCCAAAAAGATGGGTAAATCCCAAGTACAGATAGTTCAATGTTGTCTTTTGTAATTTATACTTCGTGCTTAAAAAACAAGAAAAACTCAAATGAACGTTCTTTTTATACTAAACTTAGGGATGCTAATCATCCTTTCTTGCAGCGAAAATGGAATTTATTTAATACCAAATATCTTGAAAGGTTTCCACATGAATCTTGTTCTCTGGCAAATCAATGTCCATAGCCTCAAGTTTCTGCCGCTTGATTGTGTTATTTTCAGCCTGAAATATCATGATTGTTTAAATGTTTTGTCGAAATGAACTCATACAGCATGGAGAACAAGTTATTGTTATAATCTCCAAGCCTAGCACTATCGTGCAGTAGATGGTGGTCAAGCTGCAGTTATCAGAGAGGGAAAATAATGTTAATTCTTTTCATTCTATGTAGTAGTCTTGTACTTGTATTTGGTGGCAAATAAATATCAGGAATTCTTGAGTCAAATGTCGACATTTTCATCTACAATTTAACAAATATAAAACATTTTCCGTGTTGATATTTAACAGTTATTCTACGAACTCGAGTCGAATATGAGCTGATAGCCGATGATGCGCGTAGCGCCGAATCGGCTATCGCTCATATTCGACGAGAGTGAGTGGAATAACTGTTTTATTATCCTAGAAATGTCAGCATGTCTTTGACCACCATCTGCTGCCCGGCCACCAATAAACGCTACGTTCACCTGTTTTCTTTGCCGCAGATCAGAAAGAACTAACTCTGATAAACACTTGGCCAAAAACTAAAATAAGAACACAAATAAAAGTCATTTTAACATTCACTTTAACACAATATGACGTAACGATGACATCACAAGGTTATTAAATACTGCGGGATACTTGCTTGGAAATCTTCAGAGCGCACAAACCAGTCAATCAAGTTTTCGGAACAGGTTTTGAGTGTTTCATAAAGTACTGGATCGGCCAACTTTTCCTCAACACATACGATACATAGCGACTGAGCAAGAGAAGTCTGAAATACACAATAAAACACAAAAATACTTTATTATTTATCCCAGTTAAGTCAAACTGATCAAACGAGGATGAGAGTTGAGAACTGGTTCAAATTGTGATGACAGTTGATGAGAGGTTTGCGCAATACCTTCAATTCTCGACACAGCACAGCATCAAACTCGCGAGTGACATCACAGACAGCCTTCGCTAAGGAATTAACATGAACAAGAGGTATACGTTTGTGACCAGTGCGTGGTTTGATGGCGGTTGTGATTACACTTGCCAATGATTTTTGTAGTTTGCAGTTTGCTTCAGATCTACAGGGATGGCAGAGGCGTTAGCTGACTCTTTGAATAAATAAAGACAACTTATATACGTGGTTTCTGTCTGAACGATTTTAAAGCCAGCAGGTTTGAGATATCTTTTTCCGGTAGTATGAGACACAAACCACGACAGCTTACTGTAGAATACTACCTACACTAGACCACTACGTTCAGATATCTTTTTCAGGTAATTCAGACACAAACCACGGCAGCTTATTGTAGAATACTACCTACACTGGACGACTACGTTTGAGATTTCTTTTTCGGGTAGTTGAAACACAAACGACGCAGCTTATGGTAGAATACTACCTACACTGGACCACTACGTTCGATATATCTTTTTCAGGTAGTTGAGACACAAACAACGGCAGCTTATGGTAGAATATTAGCTACGCTGGACCACGATGGAATATAAAATGAAAATAGTATTTTACCTAGCAGATTCGTTATCTCCAGGAGTAATATCTTGTAAACAAGAAATGACAACAGTGAACAAGTCATCCGAAATGGCTTCAAAATTTAGTCCGCCTGTCTTGAGTAGACTGTCAACACAGCGCAAGGAAACCTAACAAAATAGAAATCTTAAGATAAATATATATCGTTACAGTATACAGTATACAGAGCTTTCGTAATCTTTTTACGTAAGCGGCTGTGGGAAGAAAGTAGGAGCTGCCCTCAATGCAGGAATCCCGAAAACGTTTTGCCGAAAACAGCTGTACTTTACCACAAACCACAAACCGTGGCTAAAAGGTATGCCAAAAACAGGAGTACTTTTTATAGCCACAATCCGTGGAAAAAGCGAGATGGATGCACAGCGTTGTTTAAAGACAGTAGCCGCCAATAAACATCATAACACCCGGCTACTTTCGAACAATGAATGATTGAAATTCACGAAAATAGTATAGTCAAACATTGTTTCGATGAACTAGTAAAACACATTTTAACCTCTTGTACACTGGAGTCTTTCCAAACAGACTGTGTACTAAATATTCTCCACAATGGTTTAACATGACAACCAAGAGCTTGACAAGTGTCTGACAGGAACAGGAACATGACTTCACTTAAAGAATGAAAAACAAAACACACTCTGAACAGTGGCATCTTGTCAGCAGCATCACAGATTCACAGTCCGAAATTCAGGCTACATCTTATTCTAATTGTCAGTGAAAATTCTGAACATACATACCTTAATACTCTTTTTATTTTTTAAGTTATAAAACAGTTGAATTCTGACGTGATATAATGTGACAATGATCAATGACGACTAACCTTAAATTCTCCAGCGAAGTCCAAACGTCAGCTTCGTTCTTCAGAGACACACATGAGTCATCAGTAATTGAGCCAGGATTGGCACTCTACAAAATATGTTGTGATATATGATCTCAATAGTGTAGAGCACTCACTGTCCATGGTAACTTTACCTTGAAATGATGAAGACTGATTGGAAAAGAAGACATATTCTCTTGATCAAACAGTTTGAAAATGGTTGAATGGACATCTGAGAATCAAAAGTAATAAAATATTAGATGGTTCCATTTTTCTTTATGTTTGATATTTGAGAAGTTTTGATAAATTGTGGGAGAACGAACCTTGGATTAATTTAACAAGAGTTCCAGTTATTGTGATATAGAGTTTTTGATGTTTGTACTTGAGAAGCTAAAACAAGAACAGTAACATTGGATTAGGATAGTGGTGGTGTTGATGGTAATAGTGGTGAAGATGATGATGAAGATGATGATGGTGACCATGAAGATAATGATAGTGAAGAGATGATGGTTGTGGGTGATGGTGAAGATGATGGTGGTGGAGGTGGGTGATGGTGATGATGGTGGTGGTGAAGATGATGGTGGTAGTGAAGAGATGATGGTGGTGGTTTTGATGATGGTGGTGGTGAAGATGATGGTGGTGGTAGTGGTGGAAGATGATGATGAAGAAGAGACAGTGGTAGTGAAGAGATGATGGTAGTGGTTTTGATAATGGTGGTGGTTTTGATGATGGTGGTGGTTTTGATAATGGTGGTGGTTTTGATAATGGTGGTGGTTTTGATGATGGTGGTGGTTTTGATGATGGTGGTGGTTTTGATGATGGTGGTGGTTTTGATGATGGTGGTGGGTTTGATGATGGTGGTGGTTTTGATAATGGTGGTGGTTTTGATGATGGTGGTGGGTTTGATAATGGTGGTGGTTTTGATAATGGTGGTGGTTTTGATGATGGTGGTGGTTTTGATGATGGTGGTGGTTTTGATGATGGTGG